TTAAAGTTTATTCCCGAGACGCCGTGGACAGGCCAGGAAGGCCCTAAACATTAAGAATGGCGCTCTCGCCAGACACGTCATTGAAATTTGCTCAAGTTGGTAAACTGTCCGCGGGACCATTCGCTCGCAGGACGGCCATGCTGGCATGGTGCGTCTGCGAAGTGCACTGTTGAACGCCCCCCAAAAAGGATCGGTTCACAGACTTAGCGGGTGCAAGGGAGAGGGAGAAACAATTGAATGTCAAAGCATCGTGCGGGATCACATGTTCGCAAGATGGTCGATGCCGTGGTCGTCGTCGTGGGCGCCGTCGTCGTCGATTACGCGCACCCGAATTTGTATGGGCGCCGCCGCCTCACCCCCCCAGCGCCCCCACTGTTACCATCATCCCCTCCTTCGCCCCCCCCCAAGGGGTAACGGCCAGGGGGGGGGGGTAGACAAAACGCTCTCACAGCACCTGGTATTTTTCAGGCCGACGTGTGCAATCAAGACGCGGATGAACAACTGATTTGTTAGGGCCCAGGAGGGCCTGCGTTTTTCGGGGTCGTTCCTTGGGTTTATGTCGGGGGCACTGTTCGTGGCCGAGGGTTCCCGTGGCTAGAAGAGCCCCCTCCGTCCCTCATGTCGCGTCTCTTTATGATAGCACGACGGCTGTATGCCCAGGTCCATGTCGCGCACGGGTTTTCCGGGTTGGGTTTTTTGCGCGGGTTTCTTGCGGGCGCGCTCGCACTGTATCATCACGAGTCCATCGGAAAGCAGTCGGCAGAGGAGTTGCTCAGAGGAGGAAAAACGGTACCCGCACCGCTGCCCCTCGCGCGTTGTCCTCTTGGGCCACGTAGGAGGCCCTCGTCGCCACCGCTGCATTCGCCGCGGAATCCTGGTCAGAACGCACCCCGGGAGAGGTCCAGGGTGTAGCGGCATCGGTACCTGTTGGTTTCCCCAGGTGCCCTGCTCAGGAGTGCGTAGCATCATGCAGCGGAGCACGAAATGGGGCAGCCGTCAGGAGTTGGCCTCGAGCCCTGCAGGAACTTTGGAGGGGGTGCATCGAGCGATCCACGATTGCTCTGCCAAGGCTGCTGCGCTGTCTGTAGGCTTCTGGTGCGTCGGGCCCCGGATGTGCATCCAGGAGGCTCCAGCCAGGCAGCGCTCACTACGGCCCCTTGCTGGCGCAGGGGCGCTGGCTACTCCCCAGCGAGGGCGAGGACCCCCCCCCTGGGGCACCGCCGACCCCCGATCGGTACTCCGGATTCCAAAATAAAGTGGGGGGGTCACGTTTGGAGGGGGGGGTCTGATTTGAGCTGTCTTGGAGGGTTCGGGGGGGTCGGGGCAAAGAGCCGCCCTTTCATGGATGGTCTGGGGGGGTCGAAGACTTCTCGTCTGGGAGGGTTGTGACCCCCTTCCGTTTATCACGAAATCTGGGGTGCACGCAGCTGCGGCACACGCGTGTCTGCCTCGGGCAGCGGCCCTGGCGGCTGCGGCGCGCCGGCGCGGGCCGCTCTCGGGGCCGCCGGGCGCCGCCGTGCCCGGCGGCCGCAGCAGGGGCGAGAGCCCAGGCGGGGGGGCACTGCGCGTGCGCAGAGCTCCGGCGATCTGAGGCTTCAGTCCTTCGGATGCGGGCAAGGTTCGTATCCATATCCAGTGCGTCTTGGATTTTTTGGGAAGGCGCGTCACAAGGCCGAGGCGCACTGGATATGGATAAAAATCGAGCCTCCAGGAGGCAAATTTATCCATATCCAGCGCGCCTCTGGTTTCTGGGGAAAGGAACCCGAAACTCCATATCGCAGTGGACATGGGCAGAAGTATTGCCCGCATCGGATGCAGTTCCTGGGAGGGCAAATGCTGATTCTGCCCTGGTCCGAAAGCCGGCCTAATCCGGCCTGATCCGAGCGCTCTGGCTCCCGATGTCGGCCTCTGGGGCCCGTCTTCGGATTCCAAGGCCCCACCAGGGGGAGGGGTGGCTGAGCGTCCTCGGGGGAGGGGGCCGCGGATTAGGCAAGCACATCCAGGGGCTCCGACCGCCCATACATTCGACGAGGCTCCCTGGCGAATCCGTGCAGTGATCGCCCCTGGTCGAAGAACACTTTCTATGAACATGGCTGCCAGAGTGGACTCCAAACAATGTGGTTCTAGCGATCTATGCTGTGCAATGTATATGGAGCACTCTATGTGGTGCAATCTACGTCGTGCAATCGATGCTGTGCGATCTACGTGGTGTAAGATATGCTGTACACTATATACGTTGCAATAGTTTGCACAAGCGAATTAACATATTCCATGCTCTTGCAAACATCCCACCCACCCACCCGCAACTTGGCTTGTAAACCCATGCGGCGGCGATTGCGATGAGTGCTTGGCGTTGGCTGGTGCATCTCTGCGGCCGCGCTAGCCCGCGCACGCTCGCGCGCACAGCGGCCATTTAGTTTGGCGCGACTGGCGCGGCCGCGGTGGCGCTGACCGCTGGGCACTTCCCAGCGGGAACCTCAGAGCGACTCGGTGACTTGGGCGGGCGCGGTATCATGGCGACGCCGACAATGAGAGTAGCGATGATGGTGACAATGGTGGCGATGACGACGGCAAGGCCAATGACGGCGCCAATTTTGATCACGCTTGCCGATAACGATTACGATGTCCTCGCGTCAGCGATGCAGGTTTTAGAAGGAGCTCGACAAGCGCGCGGCCGACGCGGGCGAGTGGCCCGCGTGGTATTCTTTGACACGGATCGCCCCCCCCCCCCCCCCAGCACGCGCGGAAGGGCGTTCGAAGGAATTGTTGACGCTTCGCGTATCCCCACCAGCCCATCCAGAAACGATGCTCAGGGGAGTTGAGGTGATCAGGGAAGTCGGGGAGCATGCAGAATAACAAAGGGCGGGGGAAGCTGTCACAGACCCCGAGAGGGGGAGGATGGAAGAGGAGTCGTCGTCGTCGTCGTCGTCGTCGGAGGAGGAGGAGGAGGAGGAGGGGGAAGAGGAGGAGGAGGAGGAGGAGGAGGAGGACGGAGAAGGAGGAAGAATCGGAGGAGGAGGAGGAGGAGGGGAAGGAGCTTCTTGGGGGTCTTTTGAGGGCCTCTTGGAGGGCTTTTTGGGCGCCTTGGGGCATCTTGGGCGCCTCTTGGGACCCTCTTGAGGCGCTCTGGGGAGCCTTCGGGGCGCTTTTGGGGCCATCTTGGAGGGAGTCGATCAAACAAGAGGGGGGGTTTAATTAGCGCCCCCCCTCGGAAGCCCCTAAAATCGCCTCTTGGACCCCTCTTGGAACGCTCTTGGAGTGCTCTTGGGCGCTCTTGGGGCCGTCTTGGGGCTCTTTTGGGGCTCTCTTGGGGCCCTCTTGGGCCATCTTGGAGCCATCTCCAGGCCTCGGATGGCCATCGGAAGCGAAAAGGCGAGAAAGCAAAAATCATTGATTTTCCTTAGGTTTTGGGACGATTTTGGCCTCTTCGGGGCCTCCTTGGGGAGCTGTTTGGCCACTTGGAGTTATCTTGGGGCCGTCTTTGGGCTTCTTGGAACCATCTTAGGAGCCATCGTGAGCGATCTTGCGCTATCTTGAGCCATCTTGGAGCTCATCTTGGGTTCTCTGAGGCGCTCTTGGAGCCGTCTTGGGCCATCTTGGACGCTCTAACTACCCGCGGCCCCCCCCGTCCAGGTCCAGGGGAGGGGGTAGGGGGAGGGGTAAACCCCTCCCCAAGGGGGAAGAGGGAGGGGTGGAAGAGGATCTGCTCTAGACCACCTACGCCCAGAGGGCTGGTGGGATTCAACATGCGGTGCGAGAGGCCTGCTTGGCAGACTTGGATGAACATATTGGAGTTCGCAAGTGCGCGAGCGCAGGATTGTTTTGAACATTCTCGTGTCGAAACCATATGTTTCATATGTTCTCGGGGCACTGGATTTTGAAATCCTTACGACACCGAATTTGAAGGATTGCAGCATACGCGCGCGACGAGGCGCGCGTGTGCACGTCGTCTCGCTTTATTGGCCAGGGGTTCTTGCTACAGCACGCGCGCAAGGGCGTTCGAAGGATTTCGGCTGGTTCCTTTAATATTTGCTTTCGCACCGATTAGGTGCCTCGGCTGCGTGCTGTCCACCCTGGCAACGCGCGGCCTTTCGTTCCAGGCACGTCCGTTCCGCAGATCCCTGTTGGGCAGCTCAGGGCCTACTACAGATAAACTGGCCCGCCGCCCGGGGCAGCGCCCAGACGTTTGCAGCGGCAAATGCGAGGGCCGCCCGCCTACCGCCGAAGCGGGCGCCGGCGCCGGCGCGGCGGCGCCGGCGCGGCCGCCCCGACTGCGGGGATCTCTCCACAGGCTGGGCGTTCCTCCTCCTTGTCCTCTCTTCCTCTCCCCTCCGCCCTCTTGTCGCCCCCCTCCCTCCGTGCGCCGCGATGGCGCTCGCGAGGCTGCCGCAGGTGCCTCCCCGTGTGGTTGGGCACCTGGGCCAGGTCTTGCCGCCCGCCCCCCCCACGGGCCCAGCATCTTGCTGGTCGCAGTCCAGACCAAATGAAGCTGCTCGCGAACTTGCCGTACCTTGTCACGCGCCACCCACATGGGAGGCCTTGCGACCCTTGTTTTGTCGTCCAAGTACTTCGCCTACACATCATCGGCAGCTTCACTGCAGTGCTTGGTTTTCCAAGCACTGGGCCCCGTCATCGCCCGTGGGTGCCCTGGCGCCGCAACCTGGCAGTTGCCACGGATCCCGCTGACGGGGCCGGCCGCGCCAGCAAACTCAGGTGAGAAATTTTCCGCCTCAGAGGCCTTTTCTCCCCCCCTCCGCGGCCGCGTCGTCTGTCTTCTCTCCGCTCTTGCACGCTGGCCAATTCGGTTCTCGGTGCCCCCGCTTAGTTCTCTTTCTCTCTCTCTCTGTCTGTCTCTCTCTCTCTCTCTTTTTTCCCTATGTTTATCTATACATGTATATATATACATATATACATAGATCGCTTGTGCGCCAAGTCTGCTTCGCCGCCGACGAGAAGCCGACTTCGAACAGGGCCCAGCCTCCATCCGCGTACTTGTTCCAGTGTGTTTACGGTGTCAGGGCCGTAAATTGCAAAAGGACCCCTCAAGCGAAACACCCTGGCTGGCATATGGACACTCTTTCCTCTGCTCCAAATTGACCGGTCCCCTGCACCAGGCCTGCGCTGATGAAGGCCTGAGAGCGGCGACGCTGGCGCCCCAGGGTCGCCTGTGGGCCGCGGCTGGTCGTTGTGGCCTCCGTCGTCACCGCCTTTGTCGTCTCCGCCTGTCGCCGTCGTCGCCGTCGCCGCCGCTGTCATCGAGGCCGTTGCCGCTGTCGCCGTCGCCGGCATCGACGCTAGCGTCGCCGCCTGTCGCCGTCGTTTTCGCCGTCGCCGCATTGCGTAAGGTCAGGAGTGGGAACCGGTCGCACCCGCCGATCCTAGGTCTAAGATGGGGACGGTTTGGATATCAGCAACCAGAAGGATCAGTGTCCATCGACAGTAATCCCACAAAGGCGCATTTGCACCCTCGTTTTTTTCCAGAGGCAGTCTCGAGCATCCCAGCGTCTTGCACGCTGTCCGTGCGCCCTCAAGCTGAACGCTGATCGTAAATGCCCGCGCCAAGAGCCTCCGAACAATGGCCGTGGACAGCGTCATGGGCGCAGAGAGGGGAAGAGAGGCTCAGGGCGGGAGGACCGACCCCACAAAAGTCGCGCATTCGCGCAGTCGTCGCCGATCTGGGCGTAGGTTTCCCGCCCTGCTCAGGACCGCGTTGGCGTGCTATCGTGCGCCAATCTGCAATCCGTTGTCGATGTGTCGTCGATTCCTTGGGCCCCTCGGCATGTCTTGCGATCGGCAACACATGCCGATGTATCGCGATCTGCCAATGCGTCGATGTGATGCGTCGGCCGATCATGTTGTTAATGTGTTGCGATCTGTCATCGAGGAGTCGATGCCTCCCTCCCTGAAGCAGTCGCTCCCTTTCGGGTCCCCTCGGGCGGCTGCTGACGGGGGTGTGCGCGGGAGGGTGTTGGCTGATGGAGAGGGTCCTGGCTGGCAGGTGGAGGTGATGGCTGTGGAGGGCTCTGGCTGGCAGGGGATGGTGCCAGTTGGCAGTAGGCAGGAGACAGGTGACACGACACGATATTCGTGGGTGATGTATCCGAGGTTTGGGGCTGTGGGCGAAGTGATTTCAACCAAGAATTTAGTTTGGGTTTCGATTCCTGTAGGGCGGGCGAGGCGAAGCTGCGTGAGAGCGACGATGTATTTGCGCAGCTAGGCCAAATCGAGCAAAACGTATCTCCGGCTGCGCGGTTTCTCGCCGTGGTTGTTCCCCGTATGCCCCGATGTGGCCCCATGACTGCACACCGACATGAGCTTCGAATTGAACATCTCAGTGAAAATCCAATTGCAATCGAACGCGCGTCGAACCACAAGTTCAACTGCAATTCGAATTTCAAAGCATGCTGGCAATCGACATGGGCACACACACACACACATGCAAACTCACTTACTACATGCAACTGCAATTCCACATGCACATCGAAGTCAACATCGAACATCAATCTTCTTTGCCCCTCAACATGTGCGGTTTTTTGTTTGTGCTGTCCAGTTGCAGCTCAGCCTGGTCATATGCCGTTTCCGTTGCGATTCGGTCCGGAAGTTAGGCAGCGTGGGCCCCAGGCAGTGCGTTTCTGGCAGTATGTGTTGCGCAAGCTATGGTCGCCACCTACGCTATGCAATCCGCGTGACGCAACAGATGTGGTGCACACTGTGTGGTGCAGTCTGCGCGGCGCAACCTGTGTGGTACAATCTATTCGGTGCAAGCTGGGCGGCGCTATCTGTGTGGTGCAATGCGCCCTGCCGAGCGCGCGCTTGTCAACTCCACTGCTCGCGCGATGAAGCCACCAACCCGCTCGCACCATGGTTTGCAAAACCCATGCGGCGGGCATTGCGATGATTGCTTGGTGTTGGCTGGTGCGTCTCTGCGGCCGCGCTCGCCCTCACATGCTCACGCGCGAAGCGGCCAGCTACTTTGGCGCGACCGACGCAGCCGCGGTGGCGCTGACCGTTGGGCATGTCCCACCGGGCACCTCAGTGCGAGTCGCCAGTTTGGGCGAGCGGCAGTGTGCTGACCGCCTGGCGCAAGTTTTCTCGCTGAAAACTCATGTTGCAAACCACATGTTTTTTTATCTGCTTTCGGGACACTTGAGTTTGGAATTATTGCGAAGCCTGAGGTTTGTGAAGGATTTCGGCATGCTCACGCGACGACGCGCGCGCGTGCACCTCGTTTTATATGCGGCGAAACGGTTCTTGCGACAGCACGCGCGCAAGGGTTTCCTTGCGATGTCGACATGCGCGCGCGAGAGGCCCGTCTGGTAGCATGCTAGGAAAAGGTTGAGCAACCCATGGTTCCCCAAAGAAATCGCAAGAGCCCGAGCGCAAACTTGCTTCTGGAAAGATAGCATTGCGAAACCATGTATTTTTGTAATGATAATTCGGCGCGGTCGATTTCGAAATCTCTACGGCAATTCATGTGTTTGCAGGATTCCGGCATGCGCGCGTGACGACGCGCGCGCGCGTGAATGTTGTGTTGTTTCTGTTGTGTTGCAAGGGATATTTGGCATCTGCTGGTTCCTGATCGACGAATGCGCGCGCACATATATATCTCAGCAGAGGATGAGGGGGGGGGGGGGGGCGATACCCGCATGCCTGGGATGGTGAAGGCCTATGTTTACGATGGGCGATGGGGCATAACCAAGTGTACGTTGCAATAAGAAAAGGGGTTCCCTTTAGTTCGGGCGGGGTGGGGAGGCGTTGATTTTACTTATAGAGGAAAACCTCCGTTGCGCAATTCATCCTGCCGAACTTGAAGTGTCCAACTCCATGGCTCGCGCAATCACCCCCACCCACCCACCCGCAATTTGGTTTGCTAAACTCATGTGGCGGCGATTGCAATGACATCTCGGCGCTGGCTGGCGCGCCGCCGTGGCCGCGCAAGGGTTCCCGAAGAAACCCACAGGGCCCCATAGCAGCCGAAGCGCCCACCATTGTTTCGAGACTGGCCAAGAGGTCTTTAACCCGTGCCGAGAGGGCTCCAAACCGGTTTCCCAGAGGGCCGCAGAAAGAAATCAGTGATTGCCGGTTGGTTATTTCACATGTTTTGTGCGTCGTTTGCTTGCGTTTCCCTACATTCGGAGACGGCGCAAGAGACGTCCCAGGGAGCCCAACAGAGGATAGAGGCGCAACCACCACTCAGCCGTTGATCACTCCAGGCTTCCACTACTCAGCCGTTCCAAAAAAAGGGCGTCCTGAGACACCCCAGATGGCCCCCAACACGGCCCAAACCATCATGTTTTCAGAACCATCATGTTGCCGGAGAGCCTTCTGGAAGCATGATTCTCACCGCGAGTCGAAAGAGGAAGAGGAGGACGAGGAGGAACGGATGGGGCTCGGTGGCAGAGGACGAAAGTGAGAATAACGAGGGGCTGGACGAGGAGGAGGAGGAACAAATGAGGAGGCAGAGGAAAAGGAAGGAAACGGAATCTTACTCATCCGTTGATCCATCCCTCGCTCCTTTTCCAGTTTTCTCCGTTTTTGCCTCCCTTGCCTCTCTTGCCCCCCTTCGTCCGTTTTTCCCGACCATTCTTCCCTCCCCTCTCTTTCTCTCCTTTCTTCCCTCTCCGTCTCCCGCGATCACGACGGCGGCGACGACGACGCTAACGACGCCGTTGACCCTGTCCTCGTCCTGATTTCGCTTGTAAAAAGGAAGAGGACACATAGCAGGACGTGGAGGAACGACGCGACGAGATCAGCGTGGAGGTGGGCTGGGGGAATGGGCAATGAAGAATGGCCTTGGGAGGGAGGATAACAAAAGCTGTGTTTACCAAGCTAGTTGTTTCTAGTAGGAGCTTTCCGCGACAGGTAGAAGTCTGCGTTGAGCTTGCAGGACCACGGCCTTTGTGCGGTGGCCGGGGGACACCGGGGGGGGGGGAACTGGACCAGAGATCTGCGAGCCAGTGATCATGTCTGGGGTATGCCCCGGCAGCGGCAGGCGTGTGGCCGAACATCTGGGCCAGACTTGGGGCCTTCTCGCGGGGGAGTTCCTGGGGCATCCTGTGTCCAGGTCTGAGGCTCCTCTGGGGAGCTTTTGGGGCATCCTGGATCCATCCTGGTGGCGTCTCCTAGGGGATCCTGGGCTCGGGTCCGTCCTGGCATTTTTTCTGGACTTTGGCCGTATTGGGCCCGTTTTCGCCTTTCTTGGAGCCTCGGGGGCCATCGACTGATGCCAATTCGGGGTTTCTTGGGCCATCTTGGGGCCATTGGGGCCTGTCTGGGGGTTTCTTGGAGGCGTCTTGGGTTCCCTCGAAGGCCACAGGCATTATAGTTGACACAAGCATGCGATAAAGTACAAATTTTGAATTCTGTGCGGATCTGATTGTGCTTCCGAGGAGACATTTTGGAGCCTTTGGAGACCTTAAGGGGCCATCTCGCCGCATCTTCATGATCTTTCCCTGAGCCAATTTGAGCCATTGTGGGCCCTCGTGAAGCCTATCTTGGGCCAGACGGATCACTGTGGGGCGCCTCGGGGGCACGGATGCCCATTTTGGAGGTGTCTGAAGGCCGGTTTTTTTTGTTCGGGAAATCTCGTCTGGCTTGGGCCCCACGTCATGGGATTCTGTTGGACGTCGATTAATGGGGGAAGGGGGGCGATAAAGGGGGGAGGGGGGGAGAAAGGTGCACTTCCCGGGCCCTGAAGGGCCCATTTGGGGCCCTAAAGAGCACCTCTAGGGGTCCTAAAGTGCCTCCTTTTCCGCTGCCCTCGCTGCCCCCCCCCTTTTATCGCCCCACCCATTGTCGGCGGCGGCAAAGAGGGGGTTGATGACTCTGGGGTGGGTGGGATATCATGGCGTGGGCCATGATATTTCCCCAGAGTTCATGGCGCCTCTTCTTACCTCGTTGCGTCCCTGGGCCCCCCTTGGGCCGCGCACGTGCCGCCGGCCATGATTTGCACCCCCCCCCGGTCTTGGACGCCCCCCTCTTGGCCGCCCCCGACACGAAGCGGCTCTGAATTCTGGAGTCCTGGGGAGGGTTAAGTCGGGCGTGTCCCTCTACAGGGGGGGGTATTCAAAAATAGTTTAAAAATAGTCTGGGGACTATTTTTTGAATATTCTTTCTAACATTTTTTAGAACACTGGTGGGGTACAATCTATTAGAATATTATCCACGAAAAATAGAAAATATCCCAAACATAGTCCAACATGGTCGAAACATACTTGACAAATAGTCTCAAGACTATTTTTTGATGTTTTTTGAATACATGCCCTGTAGGGGGACACGCCCGACTGAATTCTAGCACGACATTTGGCACGAGCTCGTTGGGCGCTGAGATGCTGCTCATTTTCGCGTAGGGCTGCGCGGACCCCCGACGCTGATCGACATTGTGGTCGGCGTCGGAGGCATGGGAGGGATATTCGGGATACTTTGCTGGGGTTTGAGGCGTCCGTCGCCGTCAAGAGAACGGGTCCTCGAGGCCAAGGATGTTTTCGAGCTCCCCAGGCCTCCCCTGGCCCCGGGAGCATCAGAAATGGATTCGGGATGAAAGGCCGGTCCTGAGAAAAGCAACGGGGTCCATGACCCGTTTCCCTCACGACCAGTTTTCGTCATGGCAGTTGACGCCCGTGTTGAGAGCATCAGGTAGAGAAGAGCGGAGGAGTCTGTAAAGTTGTACCATTTTTAGACTTGTCTGAATCGAGCATGTTCTGAGATACACGCTAGCCCAGTCGATCTGATACACCAGCGCGTGAACCTGACATGCAGAACATTGTTTGCTAGTAAGTTTTAGTTTGCACAGCTTAAACGCCCAGTCAGTCGGACGTCATCCACTGAGGATCGATGACGTAGTGCAGCCTTTTAATATTAGTATTGGTGCCAAGCTTGACCACACCGCCATGGCGTTGGAGCTTGGTTTAGAACATCAGTACCGCGCACTTTTTTAGAAGGCAGCGTGTGTACAATGACCTCTAGGGCTGCTGTCGTTCATTGATGACTGCGAGGATTCAGTTGTCGCGATTTGAAAAGTGGAGTGCTTGCGGTCCTCCCCTCATTGCCATAGGCATGTCCGCTGGTGCAGCCAAGATGACTTCTCAAGTAGAGCGCAGATGCCACCAACCATGTGCTCAGGATGGTGCACCTGGTTTTCAACACTCAGATTCAAAGCGCTTTGCGCGATCATGGCTTGACGGCTTCACTGATTCAGTCTTGATCCTCCCAGGGTGCATTAAGGTTCCATGGGGGGCCCAGTTGGGGCCTCGCTGTCCCTCATGGGAACTCATGTGGGCCGGGATGGTCCTGTATGAATTGCGGAAGCGTGCTGGTGGTTGGTTTGGTGGTTGCTGTTTTGGGGTCGCCCTGTTGCCCGTAACGGGGATCTTTCGGACATGGAACCTTTTTATTAGTCGTCTTGTTCACGCTTTTAGAGCAAACTTTGTGGAACATTGGATCGTTAGTTTGCGGCCTCGGGTCCTTTCACCAACATTTTTGCGCGCTCTTGGCTCGTTCTGGGCAGTCTTTGGCCCATCTCAGTGTCTTTGTCTGCGCCGTGCGCAGCAAGCAGCATCACAAAAGGGTCGCAAGATGACGCGTGGATGGTTTGGATTAGTTCAGGTTGGCGCACTCAGTGTCATACTTTACTGTTTTCAGATTTGCGTACAGAGGTGTCCAATTTCGGCACATGCCTTGCTCTTGTTGTTGCAGCCGATGTCGGGCGAGTTGTTGCGTTTTGTTGCCGTGCGGTGGTGATGGTGGAATCGCGTGCGGTATGCCAGGACTGCATGCTTGGCCACCCGCGGCGTGAGTGCCCTTTACACGTGCTTTGATGGCTCGATTGGCGCTATCCTGGGCCAGGAAAGGGGGTCCATTGGGGGCCTTCTCGAGCTGTTCTGTTCTGTTCGCGCGTCATGACATAATCTTTTTTTCGGGAGGGTCAGATCGCCGCGCACTGCTCATTCCTCCGTAGCGAGTTGTATGGCCCATGATTCTCCAACACTGGACAATCGCGGGATCCAGCGCCATCCCCCCAGCCATCTCTCTCATTGTATGGCCATGGCAGAGGGTCTCGCACGCTCAGCGTCTCCAAAAGGGGCTAACGAACAGATTGGCGTGAAAGGTACACTCAAACTCCATAGTACGGATGGGGGGTTCCCAAGGCTGCCCTTACATCCTGGGCCCTTCGGCTCATCCTTCCAATTTTCCCGCTCGAAACGTGTCAGCACGCCCTTGCATCCTTATCGTGCATCCTTACTATCGGTTGTTATTCGATGCAGGCGGAAGATGGGATGGGTACGGCTGTGGGGGAGAAGGAGATGGGGCACTGTGTTAAGGTGATGTTGGCCGCCCGAATTCAGAATGGCCTGGCCCCGTCGTGTCAGCCATCGTTGTATCGAGCCAGCTACGGAAGACTGATTGCCACACCCCAGGCCAGGCACCACAGGTTCCGGTGGCAGCGCCCGCATGGCACCACCGCACCCGTCTCGGCACATCCCGCACACGCTTAGTGGCCCCATGGGGACCGCATGGCACCACCGTCTCAGCACACCCCTCACACGGTTCGTGGCACCATAGGGGGTTCCACCGAAGGCCCTAGTGGCAGAGCCCGCATGGCACCACCGCGCCCGTTCTGGCACACCCCTCACACGTTTCGTGACCCCGTAAGAAGGCCCACCGAAGGTTCCAGTGGCAGCGCCCGCATGGCACCACCGCGCCAGAATCGGCACACCCTTCACACGTTTCGTGACCCCATAAGGAGGCCCACCGAAGGCCCAAGTAGCAGCGTCCGCATGGCACCACCGCGCCCGATTCGGCACACCCTTCACAAACATTTCGTGACACCATAAGGAATAAGGAGGTCCACCGAAGGCCCAAGTGGCAGCGTCCGCATGGCACCGCCGCGCCCAATTCGGCATACCTCTTACAATGGTCGGGGCCCCATAGTGAGTGCCACCTAAGGCCCCAGCGGCAGCACAGGCACGGCACCACCGCAACCGTTGCGGCACATTCATCACAAGTTTCGTGGCCCCATGGGGAACTCCACCTAAGGCCCCGCTCCACCGCACCTCTTTCGCGCACCCCTCACATGTTTCGGGGCCCCATAGGGACTTCCACCTAAGACACCAGAGGCAATGGCACCACCGCACCCGTTTCGACACACCCCTCACACATGTCGTAGTTCCATGGGGAGCTCCACCTAAGGTCTCATTGGCAGAGCCTGCATGGCAACACCGAACCCGTCTCTGCACACCCTTCCACATGTTTCGCGATTCCATAGAGAGCTCCACCGAAGGCCCCTGTGGCATCGCCAACATGGCATTAACGCACCCGTTTCGTTGCACTGTTTGCACGTTTCGTGGCCCCACAGGGAGCTCCACCGAAGGCCCCCGTGGCAGAGCCCGCATAGCACCACCGCACCCGTCTCGGCACACCCCTCACACGTTTCGTGTACCCATCGGGAGCTTTACAGAAAGCGGTATCCACAATGCGATATTCAGAATTTCTTTTGGTTGGGGCTTTAGCCGGGATCATTCATCCAAGGGTCCATGATGCAGAGTTGTTTTTGTTAGTGGATTCTTCGCCACATGGGCATGACATTTGCATCATGACAGCCAGACGCGTGGACCAGTTTTTTGTGCGACCCCCGTTCTGGCAATCTATTAGGGCAGCATTTGCAGGATCGGCTCAACGTCCTGTTGTGTTGTTGGATCGCACTACGCCTGAAACGGTATGACACTTGTACGGTTGGGGAAGAAGACGAAGTACAGTGGTGGGCCTTGAATTCGTCAATCCGGTCAATTGCAGCTGTTTGAATCTTCGTTTTGTCGTGATCGCCGTTCGTTTCATTTCGCCAGCGTTACCATTGATACCTCAATCATTACCGTCTTCGGCCGCTACAGAATGTGGCAAAGAGCTGCATGCTCTACAATGGCTTCACAGCGTGTAAGAATGTCGCAAGGCAAGCATTGGTTGTTTTGCGGCAGTGTAGTTGACTGCAGTCGTACTCTCATCGGATGGTGTTTGTATCGCGTATCATTCACCAGCGCAGGTCAAGAGCCTTCTGCCAGGTTCTCCACGTTCTGCAACTATTCAGTTTTTTCAGCCCCCTCTCGTTGGCTTACATGTGCGCACCGTCGATTGCGACATCAAGTTCCCGCCAGCCGTTTATCATTCAGCGAGCTTCATTTTTGGCCACAGCTGTTTGATGCAAGAGCTGCTGGAATGGTAAAGGGGCACGCTTTCAAGAAGTCTTGGAAGGAGGCAAGGAAGCCTGACAGGAAAAGAGCATCCTCCAGAAACAAGAGCAGAAAAGTGGTCATCCTTGATAGCGCGACCGCCCGCAGCTTCGACTGCTGTACATGACGCGCACAGTAGAAGCACGCCTGCTGCGCGCTCGCACAGCACTCGCGTACCAGACATCTAGACATGACGGGGGACCGGGTCCGTGGGCCCCCCAGGCTGGAGCGCGGACCGCCAGTGGAGGTTCTGAGGCGGTCCGCGCACGCTTCGGGAGCCCCGAATCGACGCCGAGGGCGATCCGACAGCCGTCAAGACGATGCACGGCGGCGATCCCAAACTCTAACATTCCTGTCGAGTGTCTACATGTTTTACCGGTTCTCGCCCTTTCGGGCTTCCAGCGGCGTAAGGCGGCCCAATGGGGTGCCACAGGTCGGCCCAAGAGGCCTCCAAGAAAGCCCCAGGGAGGCCCCATGGGAGCACCAAGACAGTCCAAGAGAGGGCCCCAAGACGGCCCGAGAAGGCTCCAGGACGGCTCGGGAGAGCCGCAAGAGGGCAGCAAGAGAGCCCAAGAGCGCACCAAGAGGTCCCCAAGAGAGCCCAAAGACGGCCAAAGCACCGCAAGACGGCCCAGGAGGGCCCCAGGATGGCCGAAGAGGGCTTCAAGAGGACCCCGTAAGAGGCCCCAGGAGGCCACAAATGGTAATGACCCGTAAGTGTTCAGACGTATTCAAGGCTTTCACCATTTTAGTTTTTCCGACACTCCAAGACGGCCCAAGAGGGGCCACACGTCGCCTCAAGACGGCCCAAGAGACCAAGAGGGCTCCAAGATGGCCCACGAAATCCCCAAGACGGCCCAGGAGAGCCCCAAGAGGTTCCCAAATCAGAGAAACTACGGATTCGGCTTCTGTCCGGGATTCGGCTTTCTGTTATGTATGGACGACGACAGCGACGACGACGACGACGTCAACGACGACGACGACGACGTCGACGAGGGCGAGGGCGACGAGGACGAGGGGGAGGAGGAAGCGGACGACAACCGAGGGGGCGGAGGGCCAGCACCCCCATCCGTCCTATCGGCCCAGGCCAAGAGCAAGGGCAGAAGGGAAGAACGCATCGGAGTCACATTGCAGCCATACCGGGGCAAGCTTGGGGTCAACTCGGGTTCACGGGGTCTTCGTGGGGCAATATCCAGGCAATCTCGGGATCGTCTCGGAGGCGGCTTTTCGTATGTCGCGGAATGGCGGCGTTGTTGTTGGTGTCGCTGTTTGTTGTTTGTGGTTGGTTGTTCATTATTGTAGTTATGTTAGTGTTGCTGATTTGTGGCATTGGTGATCTTGTTGCTGCAGTTGCTGTTCTGCGGGTCATACGATTTGCTAACACTGTTGGGAGCTCTCGTTGTGATCACAGCACAGCACGCCATAGGATGTATTAACCAAGCCTGGCCGACAGGAGTTTGGTTTACAATGGTGTTGCCGTTGTTATTGATGCCGAGTGTGTTGCTGGTATTGGTGCAGTGTTCGTTTATGTCGTTCCTGCTGCTGGTGCTACTGTTTTGGTCACTCCGTTTCTTCGCCCAGTGTGGTTGTCCCGCCTGGCCTCTTTGACCACTGGGCCGGCCGAACGATTCGGTGTCTGGTATGTTTGTTGTCGTCGTCGGCGGCTTTGTTCTTATCGTTGGTGTTGTTGATGCTGTTGTTGTTGGTGTTGTCGTCGTTGTTGTAAAATCCCCATTTTCGAGGAATTGACGTGCTCCTCCCAGGGCTCGCACCTGGTTGTTTTACAAG